GTTCTGAGGAAGGGTCACCGGACCCGAAACGTTAACTCTGTTTTCTCCTCCACAAATACTGCCAGAACTGCTGACCATTTTCAAGGGGTCTGCTTGAGGGTTATTTTCTGAATTTGGAGGGGCTACTTTGTGGCTTTGGAGGGCTATTATTTGTTATTCAAGAGCCAGTTTTTTACTCTCACTAATTATTTTATTTGGCGGTGCAGTCATTTTGTAACACGATAAAAGAAGGGGGCAGTGAAGAGCAACTGAGGAGGATTCTGGGAGGAGTTGGCTCGCTCACCATGACAGAGAAAGGGATTGCAGAGGAGTCTTTGGAGGGGCTCCTGGTGACAGGTTCAAAATGATGTGGTGCAGAGTCGGGCTCCTGACTGGTGAGTATCAATTATGCAACTTTCTTTTTCCCTGTGTTCAATTTTTTTAACTCTTTAATAGTCTTGCAGTTTAGTCAGAAGTGACACAACAGCAGGTTATAGTACAACAGCTTTACTTAAAATAGCTTTCAGAGCGCAGCAAAATGGAGGAAGGTGCACAGGCACAAAATTTATAGTTTTAGCAGAGTGGCAATTTGACTGCTGTGCAGGGTAGGGTATTCAGACTGTTGCTTGGAGGATAATATATTTATTAAGCCTCTTAGTTGGTAAGTAGTAACTGTAATAAAAGTAACTAGATAGGATTTATTCATTTATTTACTTATTTATTATGAGCCAGTAGTCACCAGAGGGTTAGAAATGGTACTTTGTGGTGTGGCCTGCTTCTCCTGTGAGATGTGGGAAATGAGAGACAGTTCAATTGTTATGACCATAAGACATAGGAGCAGAAGTTAGGCCATTCAGCCCATCAAGTCTGCTCCGCCATTCAATCATGGTCGATAAGGTTCTCAACTCCATTCTCCCGCTTTCTCTCCATAATCCGTGATCCCCTTGGCAATCAAGAACCTATATATCTCTGTCTTAAATATACTCAATGACCTGGTCACCACTGCCTTCTGTGGCAGTGAATTCCATAGATTCACCACTTTCTGGCTGAAGACGTTTCTCCTTATCTCCGTTCTAAAAGGTCTTCCCTTTACTCTAAGGTTGTGCCCTCGGGTCCTAGTCCCTCCTCCCAATGGAAGCATCTTCCCAACATCCACTCTGTCCAGGCCATTCAGTATTCTGTAAGTTTCAATTAGATCCCCCCTCATCCTTCTAAACTCCAATGAGTATAGTCCCAGAGTCCTCAAAAGTTACCCGTATGTTAAACTTTTCATTCCTGGGACCATTCTCGTGAACCTCCTCTGAACCTGCTCCAGGGCCAGTACATCTTTCCTGAGATATGGCGCCCAAAACTATGCACAAAACTCCAAATGTGACCTGACCAGAGCCTTATAAAGCCTCAGTTGTACATCCCTGCTTTTATATTCAAGTCCTCTCAACATAAATGCCAAAATTGCATTTGCCTTCCTGACTACTGACTCAGCCTGCAAGTTTATCTTGAGAAAATCCTGGACTAGAACTCTCAAGTCTCTTTGCACTTCAGACTTCTGAATGTTTTCCCCATTTAGAAAATAGTCCATGCTTTTATTCTTCTTACCAAAGTGCATGACCTCACACTTTCCCACGTCGTACTCCATCTGCCATTTCTTTGCCCACCCTCCTAACCTGTCCAAATCCTTCTGCAGTCTCCCTGCATTCTCAATACTGCCTGTCCCTCTACCCATCTTTGATTCGTCTGCAAACGTAGCCTGAATGCCGTCGGTTCATTCATCTAGATCATTAATGTACAAAGTGAAAAGTTTGTGGTCCCAACACTGACCCTTGAGGAACACCACTTGTGGTGGAACTGCCATCCTGAGAAAGACCCCTTTATCCCCACTTTCTGCTTCCTGCCCGACAGCCAATCTTCTATCCATGCTAGCACCTTGCCTCTAACACCGTGGGCCCTTATCTTACTCAGCAGCCTCCTGTGAGGCACCTTATCAAAGGCCTTCTTGAAGTCCAGGTAGATAACATCCATTGGCTCTCCTTGGTCTAACCTGTCCGTTTCTTCCTCAAAGAATTCTAACAGTTTTGTCAGGCATGACCTCCCCTTGATGAAACCATGCTGACTTTGCCCTATTTTACCACACACTTCCAAGTATTCATAAATCTCATCCTTCACAATCGAGTCCAAAATCTTACCCACGACCAAGGCTAGGCTAATCCGTCTGCAATTTTCAGTCTTTTGCCTTACTCCTTTTTTAAACAGGAGTGTCACTGCGAAGACTGACAAAAAGTAATTATTCAGCTCCTCAGCCATTTCCTTGTTCCCCACTAATATCTCTCCAGTGTCATTTTCCAGCAGTCCAATGTCCACTTTTACCCCTCTTTTGCCCTTTATAGATCTAAAGAAACTCTTACAGTCCTCCTTTATATTACTGGCTGGCATATCCTCATAGTTAATCTTCTCCCTCCTTATTTGTTTTTTTGTTGCCCTCTGCTAGTCTTTGTAAGCTTCCCAATGCTCTGGTTTCCCACTGCCCTTTGCCACATTGTCTGCTTTCTCTTTTGCTTTTATGCTATCCCTGACTTTCTTAGTCAATCATGGTGTCTCATCCTCCCTGTACCATGCTTCATATTCCTAGTGATGAATTTTTGTTGTGTCTCCCAAATGACGCCCAGAAACTCCTGCCATTGCTGTCTTTCCTCCGAGGTTCCTCTCCCAGTCAATTCTGCCCAGCTCCTCCCTCATGCCTCTTTAGTAGCCTTTATTCAGCTATAATACTGGTACCTCTAATTCTATCTTCTCCCCCTCAAATTGCAGAGTATATTGTTCCTAACAACTACATCTGCAGGAAGTGTGTCCATCTCCATGGAGCAGCAGTTGGACTCACTTTGGAACATGCAGATGGTGAAAGCATCATAGTCCAAGTTTCAGGAATGTGGCGACACCCAAAATTGAGGTGGATAGCTGGGTGACTGACTGCCAGGTGGGGCAGGCAGTCATGGTAGGAGACCCCTGTGGCTATTTCCTTCTCAAACAAGCAGACCATTTTGAATACTGTTGGAGGGGGACATGGCCTACCACCTGGTGGAACCAGGTAACCACAGCTTACTATTGTACAGCAGGGAGGGTCAGAAGGGCAGGTGAGCACTAGTAATAGGTGACTGTATAATTAGGGGCATAGGTAGGTGTTTCTGTAGCCGCAAGCCAGACTCTAGGATGGTGTGTTGCCACTCTGGTGCCAGAGGTCAATGTTGTCTCTGAGCAGGTACAGGACATTCTGACCGGGGAGTGTTAGCAGCCAGAGGTCATTGTCCATATTGTTACTAACAACATGGGCAGGAAGAGAGATGAGGTCCTGCAAAGCGAATTTAGGGAATTAAGTAGAAAGTTTAAAAGTAGCACCTCTGAGGTCATAAACTTGGGATTACTCTCTATGCCACATGCTAGTGAGGCCAGTCATAGGAAATTATGGTTGAAAATGTGGTCAAAGAGCTGGTGTAAGAAGGAGATATCTGGATCATTAGGATGTTTTCCAGGGCAGGTGGAATCTATCCAAGAAGGACAGAGTGTACCTAAACTGGAGGGGCACCAATATCCTTGTGGGGAAGTTAGCTAGAGCCACTTGGGAGAGTTTAAACTAATGTGGTGGGGGTGAGAACCAGAGCAGCAGGTTAGGATGGGAGGAGAATGTAGAGATTAATGTGATGAATAAGTACAGCCAGTTTAATGAACTATAAAATATATATTGAATAAGCCAGGATGGAGAAATAATAAAAAGATGCTGAAGGACGGGATAGAGTGCACAGTCAAAATTAGAGTTATTTATACAAATGCACAGATGGTAAGGAACAAATTAAATGTGCTGCAAGCACAGATTCAAATTGGAAACTATGATATGATAGCCATTACGGAGACAAGGCTGCAGAACAGTTGGACTAGGAATTAAACATATCGGGTTATAATGTTTACAGCAGGGATGAAGAAAACAGCAGACGGGGTGGAGTAGCATTATTGATTAGCAACAGAATCACTTCTTGTGGTGAGAGAGGATGTAATGAGGGGAAAGCACTCAGTGGATGCCTTATGGGTGAAATGGAGGAACCGTAAAGGAACTAAAAACACAAAAGGTGTCATTATATAGGCCATCTGACAGCAGCTCAGACATGCTAAATTGTTTAAATCCTGAAATCAGGCAACTATGTCGTAAAAGGTCAGAGTAGCATTATTGGGGGATTTTAATCTTTACATAGACTGGGAAAGGCAGACAAGCACTTGCTAGAAAGGTTCTGGATTTGTGTCCAGGATCATTTCCTACGGCAATATGTCTTAGATGTGATGAGGGAAAAGCAATATTGGATCTAGTAATGAGCAATGAGCCTGATTTAATTTGTGACCTAGTTGTTCATGGCAAATAGTGATCATAACATGATTGAGTTTCATGGAATGTTTGTAAGAGACAAGCAAAGATCGGATATTAGAATTTTGGATTTAAGTAACGCAGACTGTAATGGGATGAAACAGAGACTGTCCACAGTAACTGAATGTCTTCCGAGGTCCTAGCTGAGCGTTCTTTCATTAACATATTTGAAACGGTTGTCTTTGCAGTTATGTTCTCTCGTGGCTTGATTGCTGTCTGACTCCCTCCCGCTTCCCCACTCAGTCAAAGCCACCCTCTCTCTTCCATCTCCTGAACACCCTCCCACTGGGTCCAAACCATCCTGCAACCTTTTCAATCCCCACCCACACTGCAGCCTCTCCTCCTCTCTCTTTCTCTCCAAGTGACTTCTCATTCCTCAGCTCATCACCTTGGAGCCCCTCACTCCTCCACCCCCCCATCTCTGCTATTCCCCAAAACCACTGCAGCCTCACATGTTTCCTACCACACAGCGTCCTCGTCTCCCTGACAGCTTCCACCATACGCCCACCAGCCCAACTGTAGCTCCCAAATACACTACACAGACCCTTTCCAACATCCTGCCCCTGCTGGTCACCCCGGTTCCCCTGTACAGCACCTTCACAACTCAATGCCTTGACCCCTGCCTCCCCCATTCCCCTTGCAGCTCCCCTGTGCACCCTGTTATTCTGCAGACCCTGTGTCTCCGTGACCATATGGACCCACAGACCCAGTGTATCCCACGCTCCCAGATTTTCCCTATCCCTCTTGCAGCCTTCCGTCTCCTGGCTTCACCCTTGCAGATGCTATTTTACTCCCACCCACACCACATTCTGGTGGACCCCCTGTCTACCCCCCTTCCCCTTGCAGACTCCCTGTCTCTGCCTGCCACACCATCCAGGGAGTGAAACGGCTGTGCCCAGCTGTAGCCATCTCTTCTCTGTAACTGGAGAGACACGACCAAGTTGTAGGGCTCCTTCCATATTTTTTAGCAGAAATGAAAAGCCAGAATAAAAAGAAAATTTGGTTCCCTTATCTCTGGTAAGTATATATTAAATAAATCCTTCTTTCCCAGCAAGACTGTTATGCATCTTTTCTTTGCAGTACTGTGAGTTATTCTAAATACATTTCCAGTTGAAGGTGAAGGACTGGCCTGTTCTTCATCATTGATATTGATATTGAGGCTGACTGTTCCCCTGGGATTGTAAAAGCTGAACAGAAACATTTACAGTTCTGCTTTCAAACAATAAGAGAATGATTATGTTTGCAATGACTCTTCATCAATAGGGTAAAACTATTTCACTGCTGTTAATGCAGTAACCACAAGAGAAGATCAGTAACCATTTACAAGGCAGCAGGCAGAAGAGTGATGGTATACTCTCCATTTTCCTGGATGAATGCAGCTCCAAAAACTTGCAAGAAGCTCGACATGATCCAGGACAAAGCAGCTCCTTGGATTGGCACCTCATCAACCGCCATAAACAATGACACATGTTATTGCCAATGCATACTGTATCACATACATGCGCTGCAATTTGCCAAGGCTCCCTCAGCAGCATCTTCCAAACGTGCAACTTCAACCACCTGGGGCATAGGTTTCCCTCAAAGTGACACATCGTCCAGACGTGGAAAGATATCAAAGTTCCTGTTGCTGCATCAGCATCCTCTCCAACACCTATGTGAATGCACCAATATTAACTGGACTGCGCCAATTCAAGGTGTTTCATCATCATCCTCTCAAAGGGCAAGTAAGGATGGGAAATATGGGCTGAGTCTTTCCAGTGATATCCACATCCCATGCACACATAAAATAAACATTGTGACTGATGGTTTATGATTGAATACCTTCACTGAGTATTCCATTATGATTGAGGAAAAGAGCAACATAAGTAAAGTAGTAATAATGAGGACTTTTCTGATATATCCACTCCGTCCTGTTTTTAGCCAACTGATCCTGCCAGCAATATGTGTTCCAAATGAACATACAGGAGCACTCATGTACACATTCTGACTCCGAACACTCTCAGCTAAGTTATTTCAGAATGAATTACAGCTAATGTGCAAATCATGCTTACGGCATCCATTATAAGGTATTCAGTTGTAAGTTACCTCTTGGCCATATATGATAAGCATTGGGAGAGCTGTAATGTTGACTAAAAGATGTGCCTGGGGCTGCAAAAATCTGTAAGATGCTGATGGACGACACTTTGCAAGAATTATACTTAGAGTAACTCAGATTGCTGTCATCAGCAATCACCTGATCACCAAAATGATTGTCCATCTCTGAAAATCTCATCATGGGTTCTATGGGTACCTTGGCAGCTTTCTTAATGCTTTCTGTCCTTAATCACTTCAGTTCCAAATGCTGGGTGTTATGGGTAGAATTGATTCAAGCTATTACCCACAGTTTCCCTAGAATGCCCAAAAGGTCTACCTTCGTAAACCCAACCCAACATGATCAATGCCACCTCCACTTCCCCATAAAGATGACCATAAACATAGAAGCAGAAGAAGGCCATTCAGCCCATTTAGCCTACTCACACAATCATAGTCATACAACATAGAAACAGACCCTTCAGTCCAGCTTGTCCATGCCAACCAGGTATCCTAAATACATCTAGCCCCATTTTCCAGCATTTGGCCCATATCCCTCTAAACCCTTCCCATTCATATACCCATCCAGATGACTTTTAACTGTACCAGCCTCCACCACTTCCTCTGGCAGATCATTACATACATGCACTACCCTCTGTGTGAAAAAGTTGCCCCTTAGGTCCCATTTAAATCTTTCCCCTATCACCTTAAACTTATATCTTCTAGTTTTAGACTCCCCTACTCTGGACCTAGGACCTTGACTATTCACCTTATCTATGCCCCTCATGATTTTATAAACGTCTATAAGGTCACCCCTCAACCTGCTATGCTCCATGGAAAATGTCCCAGCTTATTCTTATATCTCAAACCTACAGTCCCAGTAACATCCTGGGAAATCTTTTCTGCACCCTTTCCAGTTTAATAACATCCTTCCTATAGCTGTATGCAGTTCTCCAAAAGTGGCCTTACCAATATCCTGTACAGCCATAACATGACATTTCAACTCTTGTATTCAATGCTCTGTGAAGGCAAACATGCCAAATTCCTTATTCATCACCCTGTCTACCTGTGACTCCACTTTCAAGGAACTATGTACCTGAACTCCTAAGTCACTCTAGTCGACAACACTCCCAGGGCACTACCAATTAACTGTATAAGTCCTACCCTGGTTTGCCTTACCAAAATGCAATACCTCACATTTACTTAAATTAAACTCCATCTGCCATATTCTCGACCTATTGAGCGAGCTGATCAAAATCCCGTTGTATTCTTAGACAACCTCTTTACTGTCCACTATATCACTAATTTTGGTGCAATCTACAAACTTACTGATCATGCTTCCTATATTCGCATACAAATCATTTATATAAATGATAAACATTGAACCCAGCACTGATCCATGTGGCACATCCCCGGTCACAGGTCTCTAGTCCCAAAAAACAACACTCAACCACCATCATCTGTCTCCTACTATCAACCCAATTTTGTAACCAATTGGCTAGCTCTCCCTGGACCCCATGTGATCTAACCTTACTAACCAGTTTACCACACAGAACCTTGTTGAAAGCCTTGCCAAAGCCTGTACAGGCAACTTCTCCCACTCTTCCATCATCTATCCTCTTGATTACATCTTCAAAAAACTTAATCAAGATTGTGAGATTTGATATCCTACACACAATGTCACATTGACTGTCCCTAATCAGTCCTGCTTCTCCAAATGCATGTAAATCCTGACTCTCACAATCCCCTCCAACAATTTACCCACATTTGATATCAGACTCATCGTACTATACCTCCTTTGCTTTTTCTCGCAGCCTTTCTGAAATAAAGTCACCAGATTAGCCACCCTCCACTCGCCTGGCACTTCACCCTGGCTGTAGAACATACAAATATCTCTGTTAGGGACCCTGTAACTTCTAGCTTCCCACAAAGTCCTGGGATACACTTGATCAGGTCCTGGGGATTTATCTACTTTTCTGCATTTTAAGACCTCCAGCACCTCTTTCTCTATAATGCAGACTGTTTTCAAGACATCACTATTTATTTCCCCAATTTATCTCACTTCCATGTCTTTGGCCACAGTAAATACTAATGCGAAAAATGCATTTAGTATCTCACCTATCGCTTGGGTTCCACACATAGATGACTTCATTGATCTTTAAGGAGTCGTATTCTCTTGCTAATTGCTCTTTTGCCCTTAATGTACTTGTAGAACCTCTTTGGATTCTCCTTAATCTTAGCTGCCAAAGCTTTCTCATGTCCCCCTTTTTGCCCATCTGATTTTCCTCTTAAGTGTACTCCTACACTTCTATACTCCTCAAGGAATTGACTTGATCCCAGCTGTCTCTACCTGACAAATGCCTCCTGTTTTTTCTTGACCAGAGCTTCAATACCTCCCTTCACCTGCGAGCAAAGTACCCCAAAAAACACCTCAGAACTGACAGCCAGACTACTCAGACTACTAGGTATCCTGACAGCGCACAAACCGGCATCCACGCTAAGACAGCAACTGACCAGGGTTAAAGACCCAATAGATACCATGGACAGGACAAATGTCGTTTACAAGGTACCATGTGGAGACTGCACAAAACACTGTGTGAGACAAATGGGCAGACAACCAGCAACCCGCATCCACGAACACCAGCTAGCAACTAAACAACACCACCAGATGTACTTGGTTTCAATACACACAGATGAGAAAAACCACACTTTCAACTGGGACAACACTACTATCATTGAACAAGCCAAACAGAGGACAGCCAGGGAATCCTTGGAGGCTTGGCATTCATCTGCGGACTCCATCAACAAAAACATTCAATTAGACCCGATATACTGACCATTACAACACACAGCAGGAACCGGCGCTTACCGGAAGCAGCAAAACCCAGACCATATAAATTCGAACCGGCACAAGACAACAGCGCTTCACAGGAGGCTCCACAGCACTGGGCATGTCACCCAGTACGGGGATGAAACGTCTGCTATCAAACCTCCCAGCTCGGCAAACATACCAACATCTACCCCAATCAACTTTTGAAAGTTCCTGTGTAATACACTGCCATGCAATGGGATTGTGGCTGATCTGGTAATCATCAACACCGCCTTCCTGCCTTTTCCCCATAAGCCTTGATTCCCTTACTGGTTTAAAAACCTGTCTATCTCAGGCGTGAATATACTAATGACCCAGCCGCGATAACTCTCGCAACAATTCCCCGACCACAAAGGTAAGCATGCCATATGCCTTCCTTACCACCCTATCTACTTGCATAGCCATTTTCAGGGAACTTTGGACTTGAAACCCAAGATCCTTCTGTATATCAATGCCATTAACTGTACACTACTCCTGAATATTTGATTTGTGTTATTATACTCCATTCCCTTTGAATTATAGGCCACCATTCCAATTGGCATCCCTATTTCCCGTTGCTCAATTACAACCCCATAAACTGCAATCCTTTCGTGCACTTCTTCACCATTTTCATGTACATAGTCTCTAACTCTTTCTTCGCTGTCCAGAGCCATCCACAGCTGTCAAATGGTGGACCATGATTGCCCGGTGTTAGAACTACTGTCATCCTTTTCCAGTTGTAGAAAGAGCAATTACATTCACAATCAATCAGCTCATCAATGGGAAAATGTGCAAACTGAGACAATGTCATACAGACATTCTCAATACATTACGTTCGTACCACAGCCTATTAGCAGACTGATTCCTGGCCTGGCACGATTGCTGTTTGAAGAGAGATTGGATCGCTTACAATTCAATTCACTGGCATCTAGAAGAGTAAGGGAAGATTTTAGAAGAATGTAAAATTTGAACAGGATGAGACATGGTAAATGCAGGAAGGATGTTCATGATGACCAGGGAGACTAGAAGAATGGAGCCACAGTCTAAGGATACAGGAGGGTAGGCCATTTAGGACTAAGATGAGGAGAGTGATGAGCCTGTGGAGTCCTCTGCTAAAGAAGTGGTTGAGGCTAAAACATTGAACGTTTTCAAGAAGCAGTGAGATTTAGTTCTTAGAGCTGAAGGGGTCAAAGGGTATGGGGGTGAAAGCGGGAACCGGGTACAGAGTTGGATGATCAGCCATGATCATATTGAATGGTGGAACAGGCTTGAAGGCTGAATGGCCTACTCCTGCTTTTATTTTCAACACTTTGAAGTTAATGTAGGCTGTGAGAAGCTAAAAGAAAACCAGAAGCTGTTGGGGAAAAGGTGTGAAGGGGGATTTTGATAGTTGATGACAGCGAGAAAGTCATAGCCAGGCAGGTGGAGGCTGTTGATCTACTCAATAGGAAAGAGGTTTCAGGTGAAGTCAGAGCCAGACCAATGTATAAGCTGCTAAGAGAGATAATAGGATCCTGCCTGAGGCTGGATATTGCTTTTCTTGCTTCGGAAAATACCAAGGAGAAGAGGAGTTGTGCTCTGCATGTGAAGAACTGAGGCATATGAAAGACAGTCAACGAAACACAAAGCTGTTATGAATGAAAGGAGCCTTTTTATTTGCGACTTTTTCTTCACCTGCTCTTTCTTGTCCTTTGTATGTGACTCATAGATGTTTACAGTACACAAGGATGCTATTCAGCCCAGCATGTCCGCACGCACATGTTCGTCTTGTGGAAAACACCTACTGCTCAGAGATTTATCCTCAACTACTATAACTCAACAACCACTGGAATAAGATGGGGATAGCAAGAACTATAGATGCTGGAGACAGAGACAACACAGTGGGGAGCTGG